AAATCATGCATCATGAGGAATCCCACATTACCATTCTTTCTACCGCTTTCCAATAAACAAGCATTATAAAGTTTATGACTTGATAGGAATTTATTGCCCAAAGAAATACAACTAACGTAACCGAACTTCTTTACCCTAACTTGAACAATCAAATAAGAGGTACAAGCATATATCCTAGAAAAAGCAAGTAACTAATAATTTGAAAAAAGAATATCAATAATATAAAGAACACATTAATTTTTTGTAGAAAACCTCCTCAATTTTAAAAGGAAAAACCATAGGATCGAAGTCCACAAAGACTTCCACTATTAACAATAATAGGCAATACAAGGAGTTTTCTCTAGATTAAACTAGAGGAATGTATTTAGTCACAACCATCAAAGGATACACACCCTTGGCAAACCACATCTATAGATGAGACACAAAGAAAAGAGAAAAAACCAAGTTTAGATTTTACCAAAAGATTATATTGTTGCGAGCATCATATCTCAAACTCTATGACCTAAACCCGGATCTACACCATTCGGAATGTGCATCTCTCAATCTCGAATGTGCCCACCAAATTGAAGCTCGATCAAACAGAGATTTGAAGTAAATGAATGTTTATGGATGAATGGAGGATATTAATAGATTAAGCTTATTTTATGTTCACATTAGTTTTGATCCAAGGATGATGATATTAATTTTAATTTTATTTTTCAATTGTGAATTGAAATGAAATAGTTTAAATTATGCCGGAGGTTACAAAAAAAAAATATATTAGAATTAAACATCGAATCTTAGGAAGCCTTGAAGTTATCGCTATCCGACATCGAACGTAACTCCCAAAAAAGATTTAAGATTTAACACATTTTTGGCTTATTATGAGGATGTGAGTTATTATAGAATTTTGAGTCGCCACCTAGTATGCAACTTTTTGGTGTATCTCCCTTACTTGGGTGGACTTTTGGTGAACGTATCCTATAAGTACTCTTTGAATCTTCTTAGGTGGTAGACTCTTCCCAAGGGTGAGACATTAGAGATTGCTATAATACTCGGATTTAATTTCTATGTTCCGTGTGAATATTTGTTTAGTTAATTATGTTCATGTCATGCTTATGCTATGTGTGACAATTGACAAGTGAAAGACTAGTAAATATAGTTTAATTAAATGATTTTCATACATGTATAACTTAGAATTCAAAGGGAATGAGTAATCTTGCTTTTGGATGATATAACTTCTAGCTCTTTCATTATATATATATATATATATATATATATACAAGAGAGAGAGAGAGAATAAATAAGGGGGTTTGGGTAAAACTATGTATTTAATGAGGTTTTCAATTATGTATTATCTAGGAGAAAGAAACATATTAATTGTTATCTATTGAATGTCATTTAAATTTACTCGAACTAACTCGTTTGTATTTATGCAAGAATCAACTCCTCAACCGTGGTAATAACATTTGTCATCACCATCACTCATTAAGTCATTTATGAAAAAATAAAATTTATCTCTTTATTATTCTATTGAAATACTTAAAACTTGAGCTTATTTTCATACTTGTCCCATAAAATCATTACTAATCATCAAAAAAGATTAATTTTTTTTTTAATATCTCTCGTTCCCCATAACATTTTGGTCTTGACTCCAACTCGTATAGTCACTTTGAAAAATTTATGATATCATAGAAATATTTTGCTCATCCTTCACAATTTCATATTAGAGTTTGGAGCGACACAATTTAGTAGGTTCAATTAAAAATATAATTTTATTATATCATTAATGATGAATAGCTAGAGTACAATTACACTAGCTCTTACAACACTCATTACAATTTATTTGTAACACATTAAGAAAATACAAGCATTCAAAGATTATTCTCGCACCACTCTTTAATTGAGCTCTCTCTAATATACACTTTCACTTATGCTGGCTTGCTAAAAAGAAACCAAGACACTCCAATTTACACCTGTTGGAGTACCTAAAATGTTAATAAAAAAAAAACTACTACATCAAATCTCCACATCCGAATATTGTGAAGAGGGTGGCTTGACAATACATTACATGAAGGCAAGGTAACACACATGGCTAGATAGAAAAAGTTACCACGCTAATCAAATCATGCATCATGAGGAATCCCACATTGCCATACTTTCTATCGCTTTCCAATAAATAAGCATTGTAAAGTTTATGACTTGATAGGAATTTATTGTGCAAAGAAATACAACTAACGTAGCTGAACTTCTTTACCCTAACTTGAACAATCAAATAAGAGGTACAAACACATATCCTAAAAAAAGTGAGTAAATAATAATCCGAAAAACAAAATATCAATCATATAAAGAACACTTGAATTTTCTATAGAAAACCTCCTCAATTTGAGAAAGAAAAACCACGGGATCGAAGTCCATAAAGACTTCCACTATTAACAATAATTGGCAATACAAGGAGTTTTCTCTATATTAAACTAGAGGAATGCATTTATTCACAACCATCAAAGGATACACACCCTTGGAAAACCACATCTATAGATGATACACAAAGAAAAGAGAAAAAACCAAATTCAGATTTCACCAAAAGATTATATTGTTGCAAGCATCATATCTCAAACTTTATGACCTAAACCCGGATCTACACCATTCAAAATGTGCATCTCTCAATCTTGAATGTGCCCACCAAATTAAAGCTCGATCAAACGGAGATTTGAAGTAAATGAATGTTTATGGATGAATGGAGGATATTAATAGATTAAGCTTATTTTATGTTCACATTAGTTTTGATCCAAGGATGATGATATTCATTTTAATTTTATTCTTCAGTTGTGAATTGAAATGAAATAGTTTAAATTATGCCGGAGGTTGCGAGAAAAAAATTTATTAGAATTAAACATCGAATCTTAGGAAGCCTTGAAGTTATCATTACTCGACATCGGACGGAACTCCCAAAAAAGATTTAAGATTCAACACATTTTTGGTTTATTATGAGGATGCGAGTTATTATTGAATTTTGAGTCGCCACCTAGTATGCAACTTTTTTGTGTATCCGCCTTACTTAGGTGGACTTTTGGTGAACATATCCCGTAAGTACTCTTTGAATCTTCTTAGGTGGTAGACTCGCCCAACGGTGAGGCACTGGAGATTGCTATAATACTTGAATTTAATTTCTATGTTCTGTGCGAATATTTGTTTTGTTAATTATGTTCATGTCATGCTTATGTTATGTGTGACAATTGACAAGTGAAAGACTAGTAAATATAGTTTAATTAAATGATTTTCATACATGTATAACTTAGAATTCAAAGGGAATGAGTAATCTAAACATGTATTAATCAAGAAAATAATATCCAAATCTAGTGTTTCACCTAAATCAAAATTTCTAAGTGTAAAATAAAGACCTTAGGACATGTAGTTCATTAAAGATAATTTAGACTTAAAAAAATCAGGAAAGAAAGGGAAATAAAAGGGGAAAATTTTCACTTGAGCTTTCATTCTTCCACCACCCATCTTTGATAAACAGAGTTGAATTCTAAGAGGGAAAGAGAGCAAGGGAGACAAAATCACGAGAAAGTCGACAGAGAGAATTGAAATTTACAAAGGGAAGAAACTGAAATTGTTCAAGGGAAGCGAGGCTTGGCCAAAAAGAGGGGTACAATATTCAAGAGGGAGATGGGCCTGTTTTGGTCGATTGTTTTTTGGCTAGGAAGAGATGTGTGATCTTTGGGGGGTTTTAAGGTGATTTCATCCACAATCGGACCTAAGGTTAGTGTAGCTTCAACTCAACACAAGATTTAGAGTAATTATGTGTTGATTTAGAGATTTTTGTACTTGTGAAACCTAGGGTTTTTAATTGGGCACTTGATTACATTATATGTAGTTAATGCTTGGATTGTGAAATTGATGAAAGATTTTTTGTTGTGATGCTATGCCATGTATTTAATTGTTGATTGAATATGTTTAATGATGTGTTTGTGTAAATTTAGAACTTCTAAGGTTTGGGTTAGTTGTTAAATGATGACTTTACATTATGAAGTTGTTGGGTAAGTAAGTAATTGATGAATGGCTATTGTAATGTTGATAGGTATATGTCTAATTGTACATTTAGCATGGATAATGTGGTGTCTATGTAAAAACTTGGAAATTGCTAGTTTTAGGCTATGTGATTAATTGAATGGTTTGAGGAAACTTAATAGCCTTGGATTAGGTTGTGGTTGTTGGACTTGTTGTTGGGATTCTGGATTGTTTTAATGATAATTGATTGAATGATTGTTGTATATTTTCCTTTACAAAAGTGCCTAGTCGTGGCACGAGATTTTCGTTGACGAAAAGTGCTAGGCCATAGCATGAGATTTTCATTGACGAAAGTGCCAAACCATGACATGAGATTTTTGTTGAAGAAAAGGCCAAGCCATGACATGCGAATTTCGTTGACAAAAGCATCAAGTAATGGAATGAGATTTTTGTTGACAAAATGTGCCAAGCCATGGCACAAGATTTTTGTTGATGACAGTACCGGGCCATGACATGTGATTTTCATTGGCAAATGTCATGACATTTGATAGTCATTGACAAATGCTTGTTTTTTTTTTTCTTTTCTTTTTAAATGTAGTGTCTTTAGTTGAATATTATGGAGGGTAGGATTGATAGAAGATGATTCGGCCTAGGTAGGCTTAATGGAGGATTTCATCATTGTGTCTTGTGGTGGCTTCAGCCTAGGAACTTGGAAATGCTTGACAATTGTTTGGGGGTAGAGTATTATAACAAATTAAGCTGGACTAGAAATTGATCTTATTTAAAATTTAAAATTGGAAAAGAATGCACTAAATACAAATTAAAATAATGAAGATACAATGCTCCGACAATTCTTGACTCGTAAGAACAAATCTAAAACTCACACCAGCATCGATCTCTATTTTATTCTACTATAACAGCCACCCAATTATATATATGCAGCCTATAACTAGATATATATGTTGCATGCTATTACATTTATAATTCGCACGCAGGTTAAAAATAATCTAGGCATGTTTACGTGCCAACTCCAGTATACATTGGGTCAGTTCTTTAGGCCTAGAAACAATTGCCATGTGATCCCCTGGAATCTCCATCACTTCCTTAACCTCATTGTGTTCAATCATGAAGCGCTGAAATGGTGGAATCACCAATAAATCTTCAGTACAAACAACATAATCTCGCAGAACCGATCCAAATCTCTCATTGGTGAACTTATTTGCCTTGGAGAGACTTTCCAGAAACAATGATCCCGGTCTCCTTAAAAGCGTTTGGAGAGTGAGATCCTGCAAACAAGAAAATCATCACAACTATACTGGTTATTACTATAAAATGGATCATTTCAGGATTGAAAATTAATTTGTAATCGGATGCGTGTACTGTACCTCAGTGGAGGCAAGGCTAAAGGCCGTGGCCTTCATGAATGCCTCGTATCCGCCGGTCGAGGACACTACACCTTGCCACCCGTCTTTAACGGCCGGACTGATTTCCATCAACTAACAGAAAGGCCAAAACATATACCGGGTTGATATTAGAGATGGTTAGTAATGCTCGAAAAAACGAAAAAAAGAAAAAAACATTCGCATGTATGCATGTGCATGTCTCTTCTCAAATGGTATACGTTTTTGTTAGGCTTAAGTACTTGGAACTTAAAATGATTCTTTTAATTATAAAATATCCTCTGGTTTAAAAATAGTGAATTTAATCAAATAGTAGTACTAAACCGGATATATCATATCATCTTAATTATAAGCAATCAATAAAAGAGTTTTTAAAAAGGGCTTTAATCTCAAAATTAAACAAACACGTGTACCTTCTCTAGCATATACGATGGCGGGTGCACCATATCAGGCAAGAATGCTGTAACAAAAATAGCAAGAGAAATTTTCTCTGGGAACTTCTCCATAGCAAAAGACAGATTGAAGCCACCTAAACTATGCCCCACCAATACAACCTTTTCATTTTCAGGTAAGTTCGCCATGAACTCAATCAAGGGCTCGTTATACTGATCAAAAGTAACGACTTCTTCAAGTGTTTTTGTGTTCACCACTGAAGCACTCATGTCAAGAGCTTTTACAGAGTGCCCAGCTTCCTCTAGCAGTGTCTGCACCTTGTACCATGCCCAAGCTCCTGAAGCTGAACCATGGATTAAAACAAAATGCGTTGTTTGATTGTTGCTCTCTCCCATTCTTTTTTCGTTTGGCTAGATAGCACGTAAGAATGTAAAGGCTTTTGGTTTGGTTTGATAGTACGTGATATTTTTGTAATGGGCTGATAATGCTTAATAACCTCTTTGCTTGGTGGTATATATAGAGAGAGTAGTGTGTGTGTTGAAAAGTTGAAACTTGGAAATGTCAAGTTTTGATCAAGAACTTCTAGGCATTATTTACTTTGACCACGAGTCATTTCGTGCGTTCTATCTTGATGTTATTAACATGCAATGGGGAGGAACATGCAATAAATCTGAGTGTTTTTTTTTTTTTTTCTGTTTTTTCAGTTGATCATATTGAAATTTCCTCAAATCCAGACGCAACTCTAGCTTTTATTTTTCTTGTCTCAAAAAAATTCAACATATCTTGATTAGACTCTTCTTGTTTAGTTGTTTATATATATAAACGTGCGTCCAATCTGTAATACAGGAAACAAAAAAAAGAAAAGATTATTTACTTTATAAAAAAATTATTTCTTAGAACTTTGCCAACAGATTTTATGCTGAAAAGTTGGAATATGACTTGTCATTTATTTCAATTTCCATGGTAAAAGAATCCATTATTGTACTCTGGTATTAGCTTTTAAGTTTCGATATGGATATACATTGAGCTTTCAGGAAAAAAAGTGATCATCATGAGAAATAGCTTTATAATAACTGAATATCATCATCAGCACATATGTTTCATTACGAGGAGCAAGGAGACCAGTTCTTGGTCTTGGAGGATATAACTCTTCAAATCCAAACGAAACTCTTTCATTTCTTTCGATTTCCACATGTTTAATTAGAAGTGTTTAGCCTATTTGAACAATGGTTTGAATCTTTGTTACGTGTAAAACTCGGTTAATTTTCATGGTTAAGGGCTCAATTATTTTACTTTTCTAATGGCTTTTAAGTCATCATATGGACATCTTTTACCTTGATGGAAAAAAATATAGATTTTGACCGAAAGATGATGATGAAAATTTTCCTTATAATTATCCAGTTATAATAACTCCTAGCTCAAATAAGAAGAGCAAATAGATTGCAGCTTCTTGCTTTTGGATGATATAACTTCTAGCTCTTTCGTTATATATAGAGAGAGAGAGAGAAGAGGGGTTTGGGTAAAAATATGTATTTAATGAAGTTTTCAATTATGTATTATCTAGGAGAAAGAAACATATTAATTGCGAATAGATATGTCATTTAAATTTACTAAACTAACTGTTTGTATTTCTGCAAGAATCAACTCCTCAACTGTGGTAATAACATTTGTCATCACCATCACTGAAAAAATAAAATTCATTTATGAAAAAATAAAATTTATCTCTTTATTATTCTACTGAAATACTTAAAACTTGAGCTTATTTTCATACGTATCCCATAAAATCATTACTAATCATAAAAAAGATTCAATTTTTTTTTAAATATCTCTGATCCCTGCAACATTTTTGTCTTGACTCCAACTATGTATATTCACTTTGAAAAATTTATGATATCATAGAGATATTTTGCTCATCGTTCGCAATTTCATATTAGAGTTTGGAGCGACACAATTTAGTAGGTTCAATTAAAAATATAATTTTATTATATCATTAATGATGACTAGCTAGAATACATTTATAATAGCTCTTACAACACTCATTACAATTTATTTGTAACACACTAAGAAAATACAAGCATTCAAAATTTATTCTCGCACCACTCTCTAATTGAGCTCTCTCTGTATAGCTCTCTCTAATATACACTTTCACTTATGTTGGCTTGCTAAAATGAAACCAAGACACTCCAATTTATACTTGTTGTAGTGCCTAAAATGTTTTTTTTATAAAAAAAACTACTACATCAAATCTCCACATCAGAATATTGTGAAGAGGGTGGCTTGACAATACATTACATGAAGGTAAGGTAACACACATGGCTAGATAGAAAAAGTTACCACGCTAATCAAATCATGCATCACGAGGAATCCCACATTACCATACTTTCTACCGCTTTTCAATAAACAAGCATTATAAAGTTTATGACTTGATAGGAATTTATTGCCCAAAGAAATACAACTAACATGGCTGAACTTCTTTATCCTAACTTGAACAATCAAATAAGAGGTACAAACATATATCCTAGAAAAAGCAAGTAACTAATAATTTGAAAAAATAAAATATCAATAATATAAAGAGCACATTAATTTTTTGTAAAAAACCTCCTCAATTTGAGAAGGAAAAACCACAAGATCGAAGTCCACAAAGACTTCCACTATTAACAATAATAGGTAATACAAGGACTTTTTTTTAGATTAAACTAGAGAAATGCATTTAGTTACAATCATCAAAGGATACACATTCTTGGCAAACCACATCTATAGATGATACATAAAGAAAAGAGAAAAAACCAAGTTCGGATTTCACCAAAAGATTATATTGTTACAAGCATCATATCTCACACTCTATGACCTAAACCCGGATCTACACCATTCGGAATGTGCATCTCTCAATCTTGAATGTGCTTACCAAATTAAAGCTCGATCAAACGGAGATTTGAAGTAAATGAACGTTTTTGGATGAATGGAGGATATTAATAGATTAAGCTTATTTTATGTTCACATTAGTTTTGATCCAAGGATGATTATATTCATTTTAATTTTATGTTTCAGTTGTGAATTGAAATGAAACAGTTTAAATTATGCCGGAGGTTACGGAAAAAAAAATATTAGAATTAAACATTGAATCTTAGGAAGCCTTGAAGTTATCGTTATCGAACATCGGACTGAACTCCCAAAAAAGATTTAAGATTTAACACATTTTTGGTTTATTATGAGGATATGAGTTATTATTGAATTTTGAGTCGCCACCTAGTATGCAACTTTTTTGTGTATCTCCCTCGCTTAGATTGGCTAGGACTTTGTGAAAAAACATCCTTAAAGTGATCGACTAACATGAGCTCATATCAATAATTACGTCAGGTGGACTTTTGATGAACGTATCTCGTAAATACTCTTTGAATCTTCTTAGATGGCGAGACTCTTCCCAAGGGTGAGACATTGGAGATTGCTATAATACTCGGATTTAATTTCTATGTTCCGTGTGAATATTTTTTTTGTTAATTATGTTCATGTCATGCTTATGTTATGTGTGACAATTGACAAGTGAAAGACTAGTAAGTATAGTTTAACTAAATGATTTTCATACATGTATAACTTAGAAGTCAAAGGGAATGAGTAATCTTGCTTTTGGATGATATAACTTCTAGCTCTTTCATTATATATATATATATATATATATATATATATATAGAGAGAGAGAGAGAGAGAGAGAGAGAGAGAGAGAAGAGGGGGTTTTGGTAAAACTATGTATTTAATGAGGTTTTCAATTATGTATTATCTAGGAGAAAGAAACATATTAATTGTTATCTATTGAATGTCGTTTAAATTTACCAAACTAACTCGTTTGTATTTATGCAAGAATCAACTCCTCAACTCGTGGTAATAACATTTGTCATCACCATCACCGATTAAGTCATTTATGAAAAAATAAAATTTATCTCTTTATTATTCTACTGAAATTCTTAAAACTTGAGCTTATTTTCATACTTGTCCCATAAAATCATTACTAATCATCAAAAAAGATTAATTTTTTTTTAATATCTCTCGCTCCCTACAACATTTTGGTCTTGACTCCAACTCTGTATAGTCACTTTGAAAAATTTATGATATCATAGAAATATTTTGCTCATCATTCGCAATTTCATATTAGAGTTTGGAGCGACACAATTTAGTAGGTTCAATTAAAAATATAATTTTATTATATCATTAATGATGAATAGCTAGAGTACAACTATAATAGCTCTTACAACACTCATTACAATTTATTTGTAACACTTTAAGAAAATACAAGCATTCAAAGATTATTCTCGCACCACTCTCTAATTGAGCTCTCTCTAATATACACTTTCACTTATGTCTGGCTTGCTAAAATGAAACCAAGACACTCCAATTTACACTCGTTGGAGTGCCTAAAATGTTAATAAAAGAAACTACTACATCAAATCTCCACATTCGAATATTGTGAAGAGGGTGGCTTGACAATACATTACATGAAGGCAAGGTAACACACATGGCTAGATAGAAAAAGTTACCACGCTAATCAAGTCATGCATCATGAGAAATCCCACATTACCATACTTTCTACCACTTTTCAATAAACAAGCATTATAAAGTTTATGAGATGATAGGAATTTATTGCGTAAAGAAATACAACTAACGTAGCTGAACTTCTTTACCCTAACTTGAACAATCAAATAAGAGGTACAAACATATATCCTAGAAAAAGCAAGTAACTAATAATTTGAAAAACAAAATATCAATCATATAAAGAACACATGAATTTTCCGTAGAAAACCTCAATTTGAGAAGGAAAAACCACAGGATCGAAGTCCACAAAGACTTCCACTATTAACAATAATTGGCAATACAAGGAGTTTTCTCTAGATTAAACTAGAGGAATACATTTAGTCACAACCATCAAAGGATACACACCCTTGGCAAACCACATCTATATATGATACACAAAGAAAAGAGAAAAAACCAAGTTCGGATTTCACCAAAATATTATATTGTTGCGAGCATCATATCTCACACTCTATGACCTAAACCTAGATCTACACCATTCAGAATGTGCATCTCTCAATCTTGAATGTGCCCACCAAATTAAAGCTCGATCAAATGGAGATTTGAAGTAAACGAATGTTTATGGATGAATGGAGGATATTAATAGATTAAGCTTAGTTTATGTTCACATTAGTTTTGATCCAAGGATGATTATATTCATTTTAATTTTATGTTTCGAGTTGTGAATTGAAATGAAACAGTTTAAAGTATGCCGGAGGTTGCGAAAAAAAAAATTATTAGAATTAAACATCAAATCTTAGGAAGCCTTGAAGTTATAGCTATTCGATATCGGACAAAACTCCCAAAAAAGATTTAAGATTTAACACTTTTTTCG